CGGAAGCCTTGAAACGCCCTGCTGCATCGCCGCCATTATTTGTTCATCCTGTCCCTGCTGTTTCACTCGAGTCAGCACAGCACATACCATACTACGAAAGCACGTACACGCCACTGCCCCTGCCCTTTGTCCGTGGCACTTCTGTCACCCATCTTTCGGTGCAACCGGTCCAGTACATCGACGATCGGCACACGTCTCCTCGAAAGTCTGATGTTTGGCGCACACCCGATCACCGGCCTCTATGCTTTCACTGCGGAGAAGCTGATCACTTGTACCGCCAGTGCCCATATCGCTGTCTTGGGCTTCGCGGCTTTTCTGCGTACTCGCCGCCACCTCGTTACCGCCAGAGAACACGCGACATCGAAAACTACCACTCCCAGCAGCATGCACCACCGTCTGCAGGGCGCCAGTCACGCTTGCCATCACCGAGGCGATTTTCATCAACGCCCCAGCGATATTCTACCGCACAATCTCCCAGCCCCCGCCGGGAAAACTAGCCGAAGCGACCTCTGGGGGCAGGGTCGCTGAACGTTGAAGCGCTGAAGACCTCCTATTGACATAGAACCGTACAGAAACTGGTCCAACATCACCTGCTGCTGCAAAGGATAGCCGGCTTTCACTCGACATAGCAGTGACAATTGATGGTTGTGTAGTTATAGCGTTAGTGGACACCAGCGCAGACTATTTCATACTGAGCGGGAAACTGACAACGCAGCTGAAGAAAATATTCACGTCATGGCATAACTTGCAGATTCGGACAGCTGGTGGCCATGTTGTTACTCCACTGGCCGCCTGCACAACCAGAGTACAGATTCAAGGGTATACATTCGTAGCAAGCTGCCTTGTTCTACGTGAATGCTCCCGTGACGTCATTCTGGGAGTTGACTTTCTACAGGAAAATGGACCTATCATTGATCTGAAAGAGTGCCGCGTCACGTTCTCAGCCCAGCGAGCAATCAACGTGCAGGATGACGGAAGGCGTGTCGACGTACTCTGTATTTCTGAACAGAGCGTGACGCTTCCTCCCCGAGCAGTGTTCTAGTCGACTTAACATGCTGTGGTTTGAGCGATGGCGCTGTGGTGGCTGAGACAAATTTAGAACACCTCCTGCAGCAAGGCATCTGTGTAGCTAAAAGTGTAATACACGTTTGTGATGGCCGATCTGAATTGCTCGTTACCAACTTTAGCTACGAGCACCGACACCTTTTCCATGGCACTTCGATAGCGTTTGCCCATGAAGTAGCAAACGTAACCAACTGTCTCACGTCAGAAGTAGTGGACAACGCAGACACGTCAATGAGCAACATTGACATCAATCCTTATCTGCACACCGATAACCAGACTGCGCTGCGAGCGCTCTTGTTCGAGTTCAGGTTTTGCTTCGCAAGTTGCTCAAAGATTCGCCAAACGTAACCAACTGTCTCACGTCAGAAGTAGTCGATAACGCAGACACGTCAATGAGCAACATTGACATCAATCCTTATCTGCACACCGATAACCAGACTGCGCTGCGAGCGCTCTTGTTCGAGTTCAGGTCTTGCTTCGCAAGTTGCTCAAAGATTCGCCAGACGTCCATCACTCAACACAGGATCATCACGTACGAGGACGCATGCCCAATACACCAGCACCTCTAAAACGTGTCGGCTAAAAAACGTGAAGCGATACGTACGCAAGTCCGCGAGATGCTTGACGATGGCGTTATCGAACCATCCAACAGCCCGTGGTCATCTCCAGTCGTGCTGGTCAAAAAGAAGGACGGGTCGCTATGCTTCTGCGTCGACTACTGAAAGCTTCACAACGTGACTAAAAAGTATGTGTACCTGCTGCCGGGTATCGACAATTTGCTCGATAGACTTCGTCGTGCCCGTTATTTCACTTCTCTCGATCTGAAAAGCGGGTATTGGCAAATCGAGATAGATCAGCGAGACCGCGAGAAGACAGCCTTCGTGACTCCAGATGGCCTATACCAATTTCGAGTACTCCCTTTCGGCTTGTGTTCAGCGCCGGCAACTTTCCAGCGAATGATGGACACTGTCTTCACAGAGCTCAAGTGGCAGACTTGTCTTGTCTACCTTGATGATGTGGTGGTCTTCTCTGCCACGTTCGAGCAGCACCTTCACCGCCTGCGCAGCGTGCTGGAGGCTATCCGATCGGCGGACCTCACACTAAAGCCACAGAAGTGCCACTTCGGCTATGAAGAACTAAAATTGCTTGGACATGTAGTTAGCGTCGAAGGAGTCCGGCCCGATCCAGACAAGCTTGCCGCTGCTGCCGAATTACCAGCTCCTGTCGATAAGAAAGCCACCCGGCGCTTCCTTTGTTTGTGCGCCTACTATCGCCGGTTCATTCATGGCTTTTCACAGATAGCAGAACCTCTCACTCGTCTCACAAGGGACGACACGCCGTTTGTCTGGGAAAACGAGCAACAGGCAGCTTTTTATGAACTGCGACAGCGCATGCAATCAGCGCCCGTTCTCGCTCATTTCGACGATGATGTTGACACGGAGGTTCATACTGACGCTAGTAACGTTGGGCTCGGTGCAGTGCTCGTTCAGCGTCAAGAGGACATCGAAAGAGTGATAGCCTACGCCAGCCGCTCTCTATCCCGTGCCGAGGCGAATTATTCCACTAGGGAGAAAGAGTGCCTCGCAGTTGTCTGGGCAATCACCAAGTTTCGCCCGTACCTTTATGGTCATCCCTTCAAGATAGTGACGGTCCACCACGCCCTCTGTTGGTTGGCAAGCCTGCGCGACCCTTCAGGACGGCTAGCACGGTGGAGCTTGCGGCTACAGGAATTTGACGTCACCATCGTCAAAGTCTGGCCGTAAACATGAAGTCTGGCCGTAAACATGAAGATGCTGACACACTGTCACGCGCACCCCTTCATGTCGTAAGTCAGGAAGTAGAGGAAGACGAAGGCTTCCTGGGCGCCATTAGCTCATCAGACTTGAGCAAACGGCAGCAAGATGACGCAGAGATTCGTCCGATTATTGATCATTTAGAGGGCCAGGGCACAATCATACCACGTCATTTATTCCGCTCATTGACGTCGTTCTGCCTTCGAGACAGTGTGCTGTACAAGAAGAATGCTCGTTCGAACAACCGTGCCTACCTTCTGGTGGTTCCTCGAGACATTTGATACGTCCTCTTCGCTTGCCATGACGAACCCACATCCGGTCATCTGGGCTACTCACGGACACTTGCCAGAGTGAGCGAGAGGTACTATTGGCCAGGACTTGCGGCGAGCGTAAAGAAGTACGTCAAGAGCTGTCAGAAATGTCAGCGTCGAAAGCAACCATCTTTTAAGCCAGCTGGTTTGCTTCAGCCCATTGAAGCACCTTGCACGCCGTTTGACCAAGTCGGTATGGACATTCTCAAGCCATTTCCCCTGTCTGCGGACAGCAAAAAATGGGTGATCGTCGCGACCGACTATTTGACACGCTGCGCTGAGATGCAGGTGATCCCACGAGCCACGGCTTCTGAGGTAGCACAATTTTTCATGCGCCACATCGTGTTACGACACGGTGCTCCTTCCAGTATAATAAGGGGCAGAGGGACGGCATTCACGGCGCAGCTTATGGACGAAGTTTTCAAACTGAGCAACTCCAGACACTGAAAAACAACTGTGTACCGCCCGCAAACTAACGGACTTATCGAGCGACTGAATGAGACCATCGCAGACATGATCTCAATGTATATAGACAAACAGCACAAAACATGGGACCGGATCTTACCTTACGTGACCTTCGCGTATAATACCACCGTGCAAAAGACCACGCGGTTCACACCATTCCGGCTTCTCTACGGCCGCGAAGTGCAGACCATGCTGGACTCTATGCTACCGTGTCAAGACAAAGACGAGTTGGCAACTGACGCTGAAGAATTTGCAGAGCGTGCTGAGGAAGCCCGGCAGCTCGCGCGACTACACATGGGCCAACAACACCCACCACAGAGAAGTGTTTCACAACACCCGAGACCAAGTTTGGGTGTGGACACGCGTCCGCCGCCGTGGCCTTATTGAAAAGTTACTGAGCCGGTACTTTGGCCCATATAAAGTGTTACGCCGCGTCAGTGACGTGAACTACAAAGTGGTTCCGGACTCAGCATCGCAGGTACGGAGCAGGACACGACCGAGGCCGGACGTCGTTCATGTGTTGCGCATGAAACCATTTATTGCGCATTGTTCATAACTTTTTCTTTGCTGTACACTGTTTTTTGTGATATTTATTTATTTTTGTGAACTTCCTTCTTCGTTCATTGATTTTTACTATTTGGCACGCTCTTTAATTTTTACTTTTACTTTATTCGAATTTCTAATTTCTTTTTTTTTTCACGTGCCTATGTCGTAACATCATGGTGATGCTATGTACTTTTCTTTCCCTCTTTTGGGACGTAATAAACAGTCAGTGTAAGTGGTGGACTTTTTGCAGGTTCTTTTGAGCTAAAGCTCTGGCAAATAGTTTGGAGAACCTGATAAACTGCCATATAAACAAATACCTTGGTGACAAGATACAACAGCCCAGATTGTCCATTTGAAGCAGAGGTAGTAAAACTAATGCCTCCTTGCTTTGGCTATTTGTGCGTGCTACCATTTTATTTGAATGGAGAGAAGATTAATGTTAGCCAGAGTGGATGGTATGACAACACAAGTCTGCCTACATACAGGATGATTGGTATTTTGTAAGACCCAAGAAATTGTTTTGGCGAGCTGAAAGAGTTCACTTTGTGAGTCTTACCAGCAGTCATATGCTCACGGTGTCATTAAGAGTTGTCAGCGATTCGGCGGTACTTAATAACGAGATTACTAATGCAAACACTAATTCCAAGTTACCTTGTGAGCTGCACAAGAGACCATGTGCTGTTAAGAAAATTTGCCTCCTTCAGCAAGCTTAGAGGAATATGCAAACCGTCCAATCAATTTTCTCTTCAACTGTGACTGTATATGCTCATATCTGGTCACTGTCTAAAAATAAATCATTAGCCTTCAAGAGAAAACATACCAAAAGAGCCTGCCCATGCTCGCGGCGGGACAATGTCAATGAGCCGTTCTGCACTGCTAGAGTACTCTTCACCAATGTATGCTTGGCACCTCAGCATGAGTGATTTGTTACTTGTGAGTGTAGGCTCCGCTGGCAACTCGAGTCTGGCCATTGCATAAAAGGTGCCTTTTCCTGTTGGAATTTCAGCTCGGTCTGTCACATTTTCATCCACCTGGAGGGAAAACGTTCTTGTCAATTTAGATTTGCAACTTCCCTTGAAATTATAAAATTACTGCACACAGCACACACTACATATGTGATACCAGAGAACATATCCAGAAATGGCCTCTTAAAAAAGTTGAAGAAAGAAAAGAAAAAAAAAACATTCTTTTTTATGGCAATCTATGAAAGACAAAGCTTGAAGTGAGATGACTAGAAGAGTCCACGAAGATCTTAAGTTTTTTACCACAACGAAATAATACAAATGATAAAAGTGAAGCAATGAAATCATAAATTGAACAAACTTTTATGGCAAGAGCTTTTTAAAAATGATGTTAGATATGTCCACTCTAAGAGGTTATGAAGTGTTTCACTATTAATCAATACATTCTCGTGCACTTATTTAGGTTTCTAAAATTCAGGTATCTAAAGTGTTTTGGAAAGTTTAAATAACTTCTAAGAAGCTTCATCGCCTTGAGTCTTTTAAGACTGAAGCCTGTGCATTTCATCATGTTTAGCAATGTATTATTCACAAATAACAGCCTGGAAGCTGAAAAAATGACTGGTACTGCATTACATGATGTGTAGTGCAAATAGGGCATGCCAAGCATCTTCTCTGCCATTTTGTGTGCCCCGTTTGCGCTGACCATTCGATAATGTGTCTCAGGTTTAATCATTCTGAAAATGAGGCATTTATCTTTTTCCAATTCCGTGTGGTTGCATAACTGATTGACACGAGCATTAGACGCAGATGTAATTTATTGCCAAAAAAATTTTAGCAGAGCGGACAAACATGAATGGCTGAAGGGACGAAGGTGTCTTTTTCCGCGCTGCTAAAATTTTTTGTGCCAATAAGGTTGAAAGTTCGTACAACATCAGACTCCCCTGTATAGTATACAAAAAGTGACACACCCACACTGCAATGATGCACTTCCAATTAAATGCACAGCATGCTCCCAGTACACTCACATTTCAGCTAAGCAGCTGTCATTTAGTGCTTAAATCATCCACCTTATAAATGGGTGGACCCAATTTTGAATCCCATTTGGGGCAGCTGCCATTACAGGTATTTTATAATCATACAATTGAATAAAAATTATCAGTGTTGACTTGGTTTCTTGTAATTGTGTTAAGAATATAATAAATGCTCCAAAAACTTTCCTTAAAAAGTTTTTAGACCACTCATAATGTGGCATTAGCACAGTTAAGGGAATCAGGGTAAATTTAAGGGCTCATATTTTTTTGTTAGACATAACAGACAGCAACTGTTAGTTCTAATTAATATTAGCATAGTTAGAAGATTTCAAAAGAAATGTACATCCAGATAATGTATAAACTGAAACTCTATTTAGATGTCTTGCTTGACTTTCAGGACACATTTTATACATTGTTTGGCTCTAATTGTTTTGCATTGCAATGCATCTTTTACTGTACATCAACACACGTTCTGTTTTCTGCGGATAACATGAAATGCTTAGCTATACTTTAGCTGGTGTTCTCTCACAAACAGGCAACCACTGTCTAAGTGCCTGCCGTATGATCATAGCATTGTAGAGTAAGTTGGCAAAACATTGAATTTTAAATGCCAATGAAGGCCAGAATGGTGATTCCGTTCCATCGACTAACATTACGTCGCAGCAACATGAACAACAAGTGCCCTGCTTGGTCTCTGTTACATTTGCAGTGCGCCAAAACTGAGGCAGTGTGTCAGACTTACCCGACTGCCATTGACGTACCACGTCAGGATGGGAGCAGGCTTTGATGGACCATTAGAACAGGTAACATTGATAGCATCCCCAATCTTGTAGGCCGTTTGAAGATTCTGAATTTCTGGGTCATTACTTGGGAGAGCTTAAAGGAAAAAAGTACTGTCTTGTGTAATTGTGCATAATTCTTCCAGTTCTATTATCTTCCTGTCATTCCTCTGTTTTCTTTTTATCTCTGTTGCATAAACTTATCCCTGTATGATACTTGTCAACAAGTACATATTCACATACATACTCTAGCAACAGAGCCAGGGGCATACCTGGACACACCTAGTTTGTCAAAGCAACTCACCATATACTTGGAGTTTCTTTTCAGACACCTTGGTACGATAACTTGGCAGCTTCACCTTGCAGGTGTAGGTACCTTCAGTGGCAAGTTCAGAATGGCTTAGGTAGACATGGCCTCTATACGAAACATCCTCCTGAGGAAATATTGAGGAAAGTTTTCTTTGCAGTTCCACAGCAGACAAGCTATCTAACTACGAAAGTAAAGGAACAAGAAAACCTTTATTTTTTGGTGAATGCACCCGTATCTCAGCCTCCTCCATGTATATTATAAAAAGATAAGTGGCACTGTTGCTGTTTCATTAAATTTCAAGTATTAGAGCCACTCTCAATACAACCTTTATTAGATTTTATGACTATGCATCCAAAATACTAAGTTTGACATGAGGCAACTCACATTGACATGGATACCTGGAACACTATTGTCAATATTTGGGGTGCTGCTCTCCGTAGAGGAATACTCGTAGAATTCTTGACCATCCTTCAACCAGTGAATGGAATGTGCCCCAGCTGAGCTACAGTTGAGCCAGAAGCCACTGTCAAGGATGACTATGCTGGGAACTGACAGAACAACACCACCTTCCTCCTGGTTCTCTGCATGAATTCAATGTCAATGAAAAACCACCAGCTTTTAAAAAGCACATATTATTGCTAATGGGTTTATTGCTTGCATGAGCACTGCATTATGCCATAAACCATGAGCTCAATTCTTTCCATCACTCAATTGCTGGGAATGCCAAATTTTTTGAGGGATACATCAAATAAACACACACGATAAACAATTTATATTGCATATATGTCAAAGCAACAGTTTAGCTTTGAGAGGTGCCATAGTGGAGGGCTACGAGTTTATCGATACCACTGTACTTTTTATAAATTTCCCTGGAATATGTTGCAAAGCTCTCTTTCTGGATATGTATGTTAGTTTATTGTACCTATCTCTGTGAACACAAACAGAATGACCCAGTCAGGTACACTATGCTAATGGGGCAAAAAGGAAAAACAAAGCAGCATGCTCATAACACAAAGTAAAAAACAACACAAAGCTATGCACTAGCGGTGTGAACAGTGTCGAAAAAGTGAAGCTGGTGGTCCTCCTTTCCTTCTTCCTTAGCCTCTGATCTCTTTCCCACCCCTTTGCTTAACGTAATTGCGAGTACGAGGAAGTGCACCCCTTTGCTATAATATACTATTCATAGCCAAGCTAAAATGCTTTCTTTCTCTCTTTCTGTTAGACTTAGCACAGTCAGTCTTATTTAATATTATGAAGTATTAATTAAGCTTAGCTCTATTGGGCTTAACTATGTTTAGCTCAATTAAGTTTCATTAGAAAAAAATTAACTACAGGACTAACTTATATAGGCTTAATAAGACTACCTAAATAAATGTAGTATATAATTAGGATCAACTATGCTTAACTTGGCTCAAGCAAGTTTTACTGGTTTTGACTAGGCTTATCTTGGCATCACTCAGTGATGTCGATAGCTAGGCGCAGCACTGTTGCCTTTATCGCCCATGCAGAAGCACCGTAAAGTGCATTTAGCGCTTGCTCTATTAGATATGCACACACAAATACACAAGGACACAGTGAAAAGAGGGAAAGAACAGGGTCGCGACTGCAAAACACTGCGAGAATACATATATTATTGAAAGAAAAACAATATCTAATTTATGTCGCAAAAAATGTTCGTTAAAAAATGAAATTCGGACAGAGTGCCCGAAAAAATAGATGTCGAAAAGTTTTAGCATTCGAAATTCCAGATCTCATTTATATATTGGAGTCTCCGAGGTCGATTTGGAACTCTCGAATCGAAGGGAGCGGGCCCTTGCGTGCCATATCAGTTGGGCTTCCATCGAAGTTGAAAGAGGAGGAGACTGAGGAACTAGCACCTGTGATGGGTGTGGTGAGTTTCTGAAGTGCGCGCCTTTGAAAAGTGCGCATAATCCCACCACCCCCCACCCCCCCCCACACAAAAAAAGTCACAGCTTTGCCACAAAGGAGAAGCAATGAATGCGGTAGAAACAAATTGGAATGTCACACAAAGAATGCAAAGCTGATGGAAACGTGCCCCGTGTTGCTCATGCACAAATGACGCACGAAACGTACTCACAAGTACATATGAACGCAAATAAGTGCCTCAGTTGTTACTTTGCCATGTCTGAAAATCGCGCCCTTTTCGTAAACGGAGACTGTGCAGCGAGTGCAGTGACCTTTGTGCACCCGGTAACTACAACAGAGTCGTTGCGGTAAAAGGCAAACGCATACGATTCTCCACACTGTGAGATAACGCGCGCACGCATGAGCGTCTACCCCCCCCGCTTCCCGCGGGTCAAAGTACGCGTGGGAGATGAACGCATCAGCGTGCGTCGCCACGTCGCGCCGATATGGCTGGCTCGATGGATGGATGTGTCCGGCTGTGCCCTTTAGATCGTGAAGTGGCTCATGCCACCTAGCCATAAAGTGAAGTACTATCACTGTGTTAAGGATTGAATTTCACTCGTGCCTCGATTGTAGCCACCAATCAGTTAGCCTCCTCCTGATTATTTCTACCCGTTTAAAATCTATTTTGCCTTCACTGCCCCCAAACCCCATTGCTTTGAAATATTCAGCGCCATTATCTGCCCTTTGCAGAAGATTATCAAATGTTCAGCCGTTTCCTCCCCCTCTCCACATGCACTACATACCATGTATGTGCCTTCGTATTTTGCTCTGTACATCTTGGTTCGCAATATTCCCACTCTAGCCTCGAACAGCATAGAACTACCTCGAGAATTATCGTAGATATTTTCCCCCTCAATTTCTTGCTTAAAAGTTCCTGCGTTAAAAGTGCCTGCGTGCGAGCACTGTCGAAGCTTACAGATGGGACTTTTTCAGAAACTGTTCGCACGTACTTACAATAAGTACACACAACAACGCCATACCTTGACAGCACTGGGAACACTCCCCATTACGGATTCTCGCTTTGATCATGTCCACCTGGCCATCGTCGGCCCACTGCCACCCTGCCACCGAAAGGCTTTCATGCTGACCTGTGTCGACAGGTTCACCCGCTGGGCGGAGGCCATCCCTACGCCGAGACGGTTGCGAGTGTTTTCCTGTACCTCTGGGTAGCCCATTTCGAGATGCCTTCCATGATAACAGCTGGCTGCGGCCGACAATTCGAATCAGCCCTTTTCACCGCCATCAGTCAGCTGGGCACCTCACGCATACGCACGACGGCATACTACCCCATGAGCAACAGCATGGTGGAGCACTTTCACCGTCAGCTGAAGGCTGTGCTCACGGAAACCGGGGAACACAAATGGGTGAAGGCCCTACCACTCGTTCTTTTGGGTATAAGACGGCCACCTTGAAAGAGGACATTGGCTGCAGCGCCGCTGAGCTGGTCTGCGGCATGGCACTTGGGCTGCCGGGAGAGCTCTTCGCACCCGGCTCAGAGGAGGCCTCCATAGCTTGCAGCGACTTTGCCTATGCAACGTCATGAGCAAACTGCGCGCGCTACCTCAGCGAACCCCATGGTCATGTGTGGTGCACGTCGACCCACAGCTCACATCGTGCCCATATGTGTTCGTACGACACGACGTGGTTCCGGGGCCTCTTCAGCCACCCTATGATGGGTCATGTCAAGACCTCTGCCGCGACAATAAAGAATTGACAATCAAGAGAAGCGGCCATGTGGAGGTTGTGTCGATGGACCGCGTCAACCCAGCACACATATGAACCGTGACGACGCCGTGTTGCCTCTGCTAAGTGAATCATCGCCAGGACCCCCAGCTCCGATGCCAGCCCAAGTCCATGAGGTGCCCTACCGGCTGACACACAGCAGACGGCCATCAAGAGCACCCACTCGCCTGGACTTGTAACTCCGTTCGGCAACTCACTAGGGGGGGGGGGGGGTTGTGGCGGCAGCCAAGCCAAGCTAGAGTTACTGTACATGCTACCTAAAGGTAGCATATACAGTAACTCTAAGCCAGGCCGCCAGGTAGCGTCACCATCTGCTACTCTCCGGCGGAACCTCCAGAGAACCCGAGTAAAACTAGTAGATGCCTGGGATCCACGCCGCGCGGTCGTGTCTGCTTCTGCCGCGTGTACACGTGTCCTAACAGATCATTCATACCTAGAAAATCAACAGATAGCAATTACCTTTACGAAGTAAAGTAACTGTCCCTAATAACCATCGTTTCCGACAAATTTTGCTTAATATTGTGTCATTAGAAAATGTACAATGTATTATGCATTATGTTATGTATTATGAAGAGTCCGTCCTCCTTACGCAGCTAACATTGCATAATAAGGAGTTTATTATTTATTGAATAACTTATTTTCATGCTGTATTTTATTTCCTAATTTTCTACATTACAACCACTCCCCTCTATAATATCAGGGTCTTGAGGGTAAATTAAATGAAATGAGTGCTTTCTTCCATAAGCGTTGCCTTGAAGGCACGCAAATGCTGGTCAACTCATTCTAGCAAAAACGCTCAACTGAGGAGGGTGCTAAGACAAGAGCGACATCATGGCCTGACTCGGTGCAGCCTATAGGCGCATGTGTGTGCACCTGGCCTGAGGTGCGGCGCGGTAGCCCTGGTGACCAACTTCTCGGCGACGCGGCGTCCCAGCTCGGGCACGTCCATGATGCAGCTGATGCGCATGACGCCTTTGACGAAGTGCTGGTCTCGCGCCCGCAATGCCAGCTGCTGTCGTCGCTCCTCGAGATTGCCCACCCGGACCAGCTCGACGCGCTGCTCCGTCTCCTGCTCGTTCGGCTGCATACAGTCACACACTCAGCGAGGACGCTCTTTGAAGAATGTAACAGTGGAGCATTCCAGGCTGATCGGAATTCTGCTCCGAACACTCTGTACTATCGTTCATTTCACCAACGTTTATCAATAGAGAAGAAAATTAAGGCCAAACTTTTCATTCCTAAGTTTCGTGTGAGGTCACGGATTTCAAAGTGCCTTTTTGTTTTTTGCTCAATCAAAGTTCCCAAAATTTGGCGAGTTCAATCTGCGGGAGCTCAGAGTTGGCGTCGCCACCAGCATTTTCTTTATGCGCATTTTCTCAACTACCCCAAGCGTCAGTGGCGTAGCCAAGGGGGGGTTGGGGGGTTTACCCCTCCCTTTTCCGTGCCACTTACCAACCTTTTTTTTTTTTGACGCTTCGTGTTGACATGATTTAGAAACTAAGAAGTGCAACTATCACAAGTAATTCCTGGTCGCTTTTACAGAGAATAACGTCAACATGAGAAAAAACATGTCGCAGTATTTGCCAAAGCTTTGAAACTTTTTTTAATGAAAAAAAATGTGTTTAATACAGAAGCATTTCCTAAAGAAAAAACTGTCAGGGGAACCTCCTGTTACAAGTACAGATAACATAAACAAAGACTGGCAACTAAAAAACCATAAGAAACTATTTCAATGTAACAAACTAACACATGTTTAAACATTTATCAAGAGATTTACATACATAGTGAGCATGCATGCATAAATATAAATAGATTTAAGCCAATACTTATATAAATGCACAAATACGATCAGGCGATGCGTGTGTTTAGTAAAAATTGTTTGGGTTGACGCTGGAAATAATGTAGTGAAGGGCTTGATTTAATTGTTGATGGAAGTGAATTCGAGGATGAAATTCAGTAAACAATGCTGTCATTTTACCGTAGTTAGTATTTACTTTTGGAAGCAGAATGTTGCTATTTTCAGAAAATCGCATGTTATTAATATTGCGAAGATGTGTTAGAGAAGTATGTCGGTTGGAATGTCACCTGTTCTGCTTCTGAATAATAAAACATCAAGTTTGAGTTTAAAAGTGGAGGTTACAGGTAGAATTTCGAGAGTGCTAAAGAGAGGTGCTGCTGATGCAGTGTGTGAACTATGAGTGATGATAAGGATTGCTCTTTTCTGAAGGTGAATTATGTATGCCAGATGCGTGGTGTACGTGTTGGCCCAGGATAAAATGCAATAATTAAGGTGACTGTGAATAAACCCATAGTAAAGTGATTTGAGAATTCATTGTTGAAAGAAATGTCTTGAGCGAATTAGTAGGCAGATGCCATAAGCAGTCTTCTTGATGACATAGTTTTTATGAATGTTAAAATTAAGGTGAGGATTTTACACCTAGAAAAGTAACAAAATTTGATGGTGTAATGACGCAGTTATCTATGTGTATTTCCGGATTCATTATCACGTTTTTTTATGAGAGTAAAATAATATGAAAGTTGTTTTAATGGGTTTGATTTTCAATAAGTTGTTATTGCTCCATTAAACAAGATTCCCAACATCTGTGTTTAATTTTGGTAGCCTATTGATGAGATCTTTGTCACTGAAAAATATTGTAGTATCATCAGCATAAAGGATGCAGTCAGAAAAAGTAAGCAATGATGGTAATTCATTATTGTAGATGAGAAATAAAAGATGTCCCGAAATTGAGCCTTGTGGAACTCCAGTTAGTTGTCATTGGAAAGGATAAAACACCGCAGCTGTTCACAACTTGGGTCCTGTTAGCAAGGTAACTTTGTAGGTCTAAAGTAGGCTCACAAATTTCCAGGGATTCAAGTTTAGCAATCAAGGTAGAGTGGTTAATGGTATCAAATGCTTTAGTTAAGTCAATAAATACAACCGCTGCCCACAGACCTTTATGAATAAACTGTTTTAAGCTACCAGTTAGTTTTATTAGTGCTGATTCGGTCGACAGCTTAGCAAGAAATGATTGAAATGATTCATTGATCTTATCATTAATTTTTTGTTTTAAAAAAGAAAATAACTTTTGAACTTTCCCATTGACAGCAATAGGTAATTTCAAAGTGGCAGCTGTCATATAAATTATTTTCTTTTTTAAAACAAAAAATGTAATGATAAGACTTACCACATAAAAAGAACTGTTGATTTTCTTCTGATTTAAGTGTAAAAGAGATTTTAACTTAGATCACCACATGGTGCAAATTGCGTCTCAATATGGACAAAAATGACGATTTTGCGAACTTTGTGATTTTTTCTCGTAATGTTTAGCAGCTTTAGAGGTCTACAAATATTTTTTCCTCGAAATATACCTTCTGTAGAGTAAGTATTTACTACTCGGATATTCATACAAAGTGCAGTATTGCAATAGAAAAAAATGCAAACAACACACTGGCTAAATTCTTGGAGGCGTATGTGCCAGTAAAATTGCACTAATATTACTGATCTTCAAACACCTTACACAAACACCTCTACTTAGCATGTAGACCAAATTTGGTATAGAAAGAAGGAGCGGTACTTTTAAAATAAATTGTTCCACAAACAACACCCAAACGACTTTCCGGAAAGTTCAGAAGACAGCCACGTGACCAAAAAATTTTTTCTCTCTGAAATATTCCAGCAGTTCACTGTTTTTAATGTAGTAAATCAGCACAACTTTTTTTTTTGAAAACATTTGAGATGGTCACCAAAATAGCTGGGACGTTTGGCATGAAATGACCCGTGTATGAATTAAAGGCAGCAAATTAGTATTCGATAGAAACACGGGCGAATATAAATGAAACACAGTTCACTCGATGACAGTGACAACCACCTTGTGGTCACTGAAGTATGTTGGCAATGACACGCAGTGCACTTTTCTGAACACAATAACTAGACACGTGTTCTTGCGTGTTGTTGGCTGTGTGACGTCAAACAAGAGGTGCATGAAGTGCAAGTTTGGCACTGAGAAATGTCACAAGGCCTTCATTTTCACATCGAAGTACATTCACCTTGAAGTATCCTGTGGCGATCACCGGTACATCCTCTTGGCACACCACACTGAAGTGGCGGAGTAAGAACCTAATGATCCGCGAGGTTTCCGACGAGATGTAGACTACTGCGACGATGAAGCCGTGTGATGTTTTGAGGGTACATGCATTACCACAAGTCACCTGGGCAGCGAGTTGAGTTGCTATGGAACGCTGTGCGGTAAAAGCGTCATCCCGTCGAAGCGTTCGTAAATGACGACTCCGGCAGCTCAGTAGTTTTGCCGTTTTGCGAAGCTATGCTCTTGCATCCTGGCCGTTCGACGGCAGTGTCCATCCACGTTTTCGTGAGGCACAGTAGAGGTACCTCGCGGATGACGTGGCCGTGTGAGACACCGATGGCGTGCGCGGGCAACGAGCATACGTTCACGCTGCAAATTGCCAATGTGTGCGGTGACTGGAGGATGGCGAAGCACTTGGCGGTGATTATGTCAAGTCGATGAGTTTCCAATCGGCGAAATTCTTCCGACAACGTGTGATTCTTATTTTCTCTGCCATAGTGAAAGGTCCTGTTCTGTGTTTGTTAAAAACAGTCCTTCCAGTGTGGTGGCTCGACTCAAAGCAACGTAGGCAAGCTTTTGAGGATGGCGCTTGTGATACTCGTACACCAGCTGGCTGCACCCCCTGGGATTGGTGTATGGTGACAGTGATAGTGGCGATGTGCAGTTCGATGGGTACGGAGTCGACAGGGCCAGCGACTTCGTGAATAGTCTTCGACAATGTTGCCTGTCGCTATATAGGGTGAAAGTAGAGCCAAAGGCGTTTCTGTAGGCCCACTTCATCCAACTGCACGTACTTGAGTTGACCCACCGCTCCATTCACCAAGCCGTCAAACACGTCATGTTGAGGGTAAGCATGTATGACTTTCCTGAGCAGGTTGCAGCAGTGGTAAGCGAGTGTAACTAACGCTTCACACTTTCACAGTCAGAATCACTGCGGTAACTGACAATGGGGTCGTCTGCATTGGCCTCGAACATAACGTCCACATGCTCGACGGCGTTCTGCCTGTTGTACGCCTCGGCTTCCTTCTTTGAATGGAATAGCCTGACGCCGCGAAGACAGTGGAGCTTCGCATCGTACTTGGAGACGAAGCGGGCTTGGAGCACCTGGACTTCCTCCTGTTCGAGCACGCGACTATCGCCGATCTTAGACAAGGCATTGGAAAACTTGGCCGACGACTTGCGCAAAAGAGGTGATGCCAAGTGACGTGGGTGTTAAAGATATTGCCACGTGTCTTATTGCGTTTGTACACCTCGCTGGCGCGAACGGAGGCAACTGTCGTAAATACATGAGAGAGTGAGAACATATGTAAAGGGAATTACGTGGCATGCATGCGGTTTTATGTGGTACCACGCGTTTTCACAGATTCTTCCTCTGGATACACAGATCCTTCCTCTGTGTATCGGGTTTAAGTACCTTATGACAAACGGCACAGAACCTGCAAAATGTGCATAGCCGCTGGATACCTAGCTGTGTCTCAAGAAGCTTTCTCGGTGGCTATGTATATTCGTGCGCATGTGGTCAAGTGCAGTTCGCGACTGTGGCAGGGATGATTGCACAAAATCAGTTTCACCGAAAAGCTGAAGCAATGAATGTGATAGCGACAAATTGCAATGCTATACAAAGTGAGGCTGGCAGCCAACTCATATATATCCGATCTCCGGTAACTCTACAAAACGCTGGAGTAAGAGAACACGGCCGCTCGAGGTACACTTTTGGCACTGTTTTTTCGTGTGAGAGCGGAGCCCGTAGAAGCTCCTGCCTCCTGTGGGGGCACAAGCCGCGCACAGATGGTTGCCGCGATAGCGCGGTAACCATACGACTCCCCCCCCCCCCCCCGTTTGCGCACGAGAATGCGCGCGCGCTGACGACCTCGGCCAGAAAGGCGATGTTCGCTCCACAGAAACAGGATGCTAGCGTATCTTTCTCCCGTGTGTGTGTGTGTGCGTGCGTGTGTGTGTGTGTGTAGGTGTGTGTAGGTGTGTGTGTGTGTGTGTG